AGACCTCGGATGAAGAGATCCAGCTCGCCCAGTGCCGCATGATCTTGGAGCTCCCTGCCGTGGGTGTCGCAGAGTTGGGCCAGCTGGTGGAGGATTCGGCTGCAGTGCTGGCCACGGAGGACCCGGGTGCGGCTGCAGCGCTGGAGCGCGGCCGTACCGGTCTGATATTGGACCGGCTGATGCCGATGCTCGCAGGGGCAGACCTCGCCACGGAGGTCGCGCCGCTCTTGTCACAGCAGCTGGGCCGCGGCGTGTCGAAGCAGGCGGCGCGCAGCTTCCAGCGCCTGGTGCGGCGCCTGTGCCCAAGCCATGCGGCTCAAGCGCTGCAGGACGCGCTGAGCAGAGACTTGAAGGTGGCGGAGCGGGTCGCGCTGATCCGGCACCTCAGTGATAGCAACCTGTGCCTGGACCGGAGTGTCTTTGAGCCTCTGTTGGAGTCGCGTTATGATAGCCACCGAGATGTGGGCGGGGCGGTCCTCATCGCGCTGAGCAATCTGGGCAGCACTGCTCTTCTGACTCGCGTGTGCGAAGGTGATGCATCGCTCTACCAGCTGCAGGTCTTGCTCGGGCACTTGAATACCCACTCTTGCAGCGATGAGGCCGCAGGAGCCCTCACCATGCTCTGCCAGACCCCGTCCTTAGCGAAGCAGGCGCTTTCGGCCCTGGCACTTTGGGCGCAATCCAGGACGTCCAGCACGAGCGCTACGCGCATTTCTCAGGTGGCTGTAGTTGTCAAAGCCAGTGGGCTCCCATTTTGGTTGGTAGGTGAATTCACCCATTTGGGTCAAAACCAATGGTACCATTTTCGGGTAGGTGCACCACCCATTTTAGAACCTGGTTGGATTGGGATGTTCACTGGGGGTATGATATTTTGACCCTTGGCCAGGTGGCCAAAGCAGCTTCCCAAGCGCTCACTTCCGGTCGGGAGCTGTGGCCGTGGGCATGGCGCTGCTTGCTCCACCTGGCGCAGGCGGATCCGCAGCCCTTGCACACGGCATTCCGTGAGCTGAGCGATGACAAGTCCACCATCTCTGCTTCTGCTCGGCTGAGGGCCCTAGCGGAGGTGGCACAGCAGATGGAGCCAGGCTTGCAGGAGAAAGGCTTGCAGGATTCTTTGCGTTCAGTGGCAGCCATGGCCCTGAAGAGAAGCTCGTGGCTGGCAGTGCGCTGGGGCTTGCCGCTTTGGGCCATGTGCGTCCGCTGGAACGAGCCGAGTCAAGTGCTCGAATCCCTGAAGCTTCTACCACCCTTGGATCCAGTCTTCCTGCCAACGCTGCTGTCGGTTTCTTCGGCTTCTCTGCACCAGGCTCGGGCTCAGATCCGTTTGCGAGAAACCTCGCAAGCGCTCCTGGACGAGGGCTCGGAGCCCGCTTTGGTGGTGCTCATGGCCATCGTGAGGTGCACTCCTGGCTCACGCCCGGAGGATGCAAGGGCTGGCGATGCCGCATCCGACTGCAGCGATGTGAGTGAAGACGTAGATGCGATGCCGGCACATCCAATGCCTTCAGATAGTGCTGTGCCTGAGACCCGAGCGGATGGCTTGCTGGAGTCTTTGGGGCACTTATGTGGGACTGGTCCAATGCCTTCAGATAGTGCTGTGCCTGAGACCCGGGATGCCTTGCTGGAGTCTTTGGGGCGCTCATGTGCGACTGGTTCGATTGCCTTGCAGTTGCTGCTGGCAGATACTTCAATGTGACGCTGGATCCAGCATTCGCGCACAACCCTGGAGGAGATTTTGCGCAGTGTACAGTGTTAATAGTTTGCATAAGCCCCCCCCCCCGTTGAACCCACCCCCCTTTCAAAGCAAGACCAAATTAAGAGGACGCAGAAAATTAAGGCCTTAATAAGGCCTTATTAAGGCCTCATTAAGGCCTTATTGTGGCCTTAATTAACCAGGAGTTAAGGCAACATTAAGACCAAATTATTTTTTGGAAATTCACCCTTGTGGACAAATTAAGGCGTAATTAAGGTTTTTGTTTGTTCACCAATGACTCAAGCCAATTCAAGCCAACAATGCAAATTGTAAAGCAGACTTAAGGCAAGACTGAGCTCAAACGCGCCAGCCTTTCAAACGTGCTAAATGAAAACGCGATGTCCTGATTTACGGGTGCGTGCCTACGGTGTATTGGGTTGGGAATCAAGCCAAGCTACTGTAAAGCAAAATTAAGGCCAAATTAAGGCCAAATTAAGGCCAAATTAAGGCCAAATTAAGGCCAAATGCCTATTAAGGCCAAATTAAGGCCAGATTAAGGTCAAATTAAGGCAAAATTAAGCCAAATTAACGCAAATGCCTATGGGATTTGGGCTCAAGCAAAATTAAGGTCAAATTAAGGCCAAATGGCCAAATTAGGGCCAAATTAAGTCCAGATTAGCGCGCATGCCTATGGGATTTGGTTTCAAATGCTGCAAAAACAATGCCAACATGCAGCACATATATAGCACAAAATAAGGCAAGAGTAAGGCAAACGTAAAGCCCAATTCAAGGGAACACTGAAAGCGCGCCTAGGGAATTTGAAGAAACAGAAACTGAAAAGCCAAACTGAAGCAACATGAAATCCAATCGGCGGGCGGGTTGGCTACCGAGCGCCGATGGCTTCAAGAAGTTGCTTCAAAAATTAGCCCCTAATAAGCCCTACTCAGCCCTTACTTATTTTGGGGGGGTGGTTCAGGGGGGGAGGGTTTGGAAACTATGAAGTGTACAGCGACCGGGGCTCCGGTTTCAGAGGCATTCAAACAGGCGCAGCACTGTTTGAGGGAGCAATTGTGCGCATTCGCTGGCCCTGTCATGTGAGATCTGGCAGTGAAGGCAGCTGTTTGCCCCTGAGATTGAAGCACTGCCATCTGAGGGTGGGAACGAGATGCCGGACGAGCCGCTTGTATCAACGGCAGCAATGCAGTGATGACTTGGCTTCGTGTCGGAGCCAGTGATGTACGTCAATGTGTTACCGTTTGTAGGTTTTTAACCCCCCCCCCCCCCCCGGCATGGTCAGATGTCAGATATGAATTCTTGTAGCTGGCTGCAGAACACATGGCGCCATTTCTGCGAGGTTTGTCGAGGCAATGCAGATCATCCAGAAGCATGCTGAGGGCTTGGAGCGACCTGCAACATGTTGTGCAACGAAGCTTCGTCACCACTTTCATTGTTTCTCTTCTTCAGGGGAGCAATTTGAGAATCTGAGGTCTTGAGCTTGCCGGAATCTACCAAGTGAAGGCTGATCGGCGCGGTGTCACCCTGAACGGCTTGCTTCGCAGTGCGAGCCCGCGAGCTACTCATCAAATGCCTCTGTTCCTTTCTGCCAAGTGTGCTGCGGGGGAACTGTCGATGCTCGCACTGTTGCGGAAAACATGCCAAACGGCAGTCTGGGTGTGTCACTTCCTGAGAGAGCACCCAAGCGAATTCCGAGACTGAGACTGGGCAAGTGCCGCATTGGCACAAGCACTCAGGTCAGTCAGTTGCCTGCAAAAAGCAGAGCCACACCACTGGAGCGAGCCCACAGAGAGCGGCAATACATCTGAGAGGTATCTTCCATTCTGACGAGTCGTGTGGCAAAACCATCTCGCAAGCCTTGCCAATGTGCAAAGGCTCAGTGAGGGTCCGGAGGCAATGTAAGAAAACCTTTGACCTTTGACCGGTTGCCTCAAAAACACGGGTGTCCTTCTTGAAACCATCTAAAAGTTGGCTTCCTTTCTGATACAAACCCAAGTGCTGTTCGGCAAACAGTTCGCCGGGTCTCGGCGATCCTTGACACTTTGGCCGTGCGATGCAGCAAGCTCAGACCAGATGAGAGAAAACAAAGTCATTGCTTCGCAGCGATGTGGCATTCTGTAGGCTCACAGTGAAACCCGAATGCTTCCTGATTTGGGCACCCAGAATCCAGCAATGCCCAAAAGGCCGAGAAAAGGCCGAGACATGTGGCCGTGCAAAGGCAAGCACATGAATTGTGCACTTGTTGCAGCAGCCTGCCAGCTGGTCACATCAAGGGAAACTGAAGGTCACATTCGAGTTCGGAGTCTCCTAAGCACAACAAGCACATGAGTCACTGAAAAACCTACAGGCTCGTGTATGAATCCTAAGTTTAACAAGGTTTGCAATGACCATGTTGTAAGTGTTCTACGGCCAACGAAAAGGTGCTCGAAAAAATCCTGTGCACAGTTTCCATCCCAAAGATTTGGGATCTCAGGGTTCCCAAGTTAAGGATTGATGTCCCCATTCCGGGAGTTGAGTTGGGGCTTAGATCACGATGAAAATGTCCCATTGGTCACTTTGGAGATGGGTTGAGACCAATAGTCACAATGTCCCATCTACCATGGAAATCCCAAGTGACCTCACCAAGTTGAGTTGGGGGTTAGACCATTGGAGAGGATTCTCATGGTCACTTGAGCCACTTGCTCAAAACCGATTCGAGTAGATGAAGGTTAGTAAGGGACGTCCCAACCATAAATAGTTGCGGCAGCCTTCTTAATTCTTGAAGCGTGGTTCTGGGTAGATGTTGATACCGGGTTTGAGTATGACTTGGCCGGGAATTCCCCCCCCCCCCCCCTTTTTTTGTGGGACTCCGGTTGAAATCTTCGGTCGTATCCCGTCCCAGGGCATCGCGGCCAAAGTGAAGGTATCCGAGCCGCCGAAGCCCGGGCCGGGAAGGAAATTCGATCGGGGCTGAAGAGACCAGGTCAACATGTGGGTCAAAACTGGGATGGGGTATGGCCATAAACTGGGGGTATGGGGGTTGATGGCCATGTTTGTGGCAGTACAGCCTTGTCAGGTTTTGGGGCGGCTTTGTGGCAGGAGATTGAATGCTTTTGAATACAGGCGTATTGGATGGAATGAACGTGGTACCACGTAGCTTCATGCATATGGGTGCCATCCTTGAGACATGGCAGTTCCGTGGCGGTAGCCTAGTTGAAGAAGCGGGAGACATACAAAGTGGGGGGTTTGGGGAACAATTTCTTTTGAGATATAACAAATGATATTCTGACGAACCATTGACAAGCTTTGGACAGAGGGATACCAGTCGAGCTTGAGCACGTGACAAAAGAACACTAAGAAGCAACGCGGCGAACTCTGAGACTTTTTTCTTTCATGAATCTTTGCAGTTGCAAGCAACGCTCTCCAACAGCAGTGCCATGCTCCGTGCATGCAAAGTCTTGCTCATGCTCTCGCGAACGCCAAATTTCATGCGCCTGTTGTCGCCAGAATCAAGTTAACAGGCTGCGGCTCGTGTGGCCAAGCATTTGAATGGGAGAGTCCTTGCAGGAGCCTGTCGCCAGATCTGAAGACATCGGCAAGGACGGACGCAGTTCTGTCAGGTCTCCAACGAAGACATCGGCACGGTGCACGATTTCCGCACTTCAAGCGTTGAGATGGAATACACATTGACGATTCTTGCGGTTCCTGTGATCCACATTCTCATCGCAGCTTTGCACGAGTGCCCTTCATCGACAGAAGGCCATAACATGCCCTCACGTGATGGGCCAGGGCGTGGGTCCCACCGACGCCCTTGACCAATGATGGTCGCGTCCAGGCTGGATGTGTCACCATAGCTTCTTGATTCTCTGGATGTAGGCTCAATTTTAACGGGCCACGTTGACAATCCTGAATGGCAGCGTATTGAGTATTGGCAAGAGCAAATCCTTGCTGGCTTTCTCGCGTGGCTGCACAGCTGAGATAGTGGCGCCCCATAGTGGCAAGCTTTGATTCAGGCCTCGCGGCATTACGATGGCCATGATAGTGGATGTCGTTGGAGCGAAAGGCATGCTCCCAGAGTGAGAACATGCAGTTGTTCAGGCACAGACTCCGGCACAGACGGTGCGACCCCGACAAATGCGCCAGGTGGGGGAGAGTCGAGATATTCAAGACCGTTTGAGCTGAAGTGTTTCAGTCTTCCAAGGCAGCTGACTAGACGCATACTTGAAAAAACACAAAAACAAGACCTGGCTGTGGCTCAAAAAACCGGTACCAAAATGGAACCCTGGTAAGTGGAAACATGGACCAAAACCTGCGGTTTGCCCCTCCTGTTTAATTTTGAGCCACCTATGCAGTGCATAGAATCCTTCAGGCATCTCCTGCCAGAGGCTCAGATTTGCACCTTTCATGGTTGTCGTTGGGAAACATTTTTTACATTCTTGCTTATTGTGGTTTAGTGGTTGACATCCCCACTTAACTGCTAAAATGTCAACTTTTGCTCCCCTTCCAACGTCAACCAAGCTTTTTTTCAGCCTATGGCAAAGAACAGCAATCGCAAGGGGCTGGATATCACTGGATGTCAGGCAAGGGACTTGGTAGCGTAAATCTGTCACCCTCATCAGTCCTGATATCACTGGATGGCGTAAAATCATTGCGGGACTTTGGATGTCAGGCTGACCAGATGCCACTGGTTTTGCTGACTTGGGTGCGTGGGAGCGGGACCAAGCCTCGCTGAGGTCATAGCCCTGCACCATCGCCGCGTTTGCCCCGTGAGTCTAAGATCCAAACCACTACCTTCAAAGTTTCATGGGATATGCAACCACCATATGGCTGTGGGTCAAAGCCAATGGTACCAGTTTGGGGCCCATTTTAGAACCTATTTTAGTGGTTGGATTGGTTGATGTTCACTGGGGGCAAACCGATTTGGCTTTTGACCCACAATTTCCGCTGGGAACTTGGGGGGGGTACTGGAAGTCATGGATTGAGTGAGTGCGTTGCCAGGCCTTCGTGGACTTTGCCCGGGTCCACCGGGTGGGGCGAAGACACCCGCGTCATTAAATGGTTTGATCTGATGCATCGGTGTTTGGGGAGACCTGCATAGACCTGTGGTCTGTCGTTGTGTTTTGTCCCAAAGCTGCAGGGCCTCGCCCTGCATGTCTCCATTACCTCCTCCGTTGCGACCTCAGCTTGCAGAAAAAGCACAGGCCATGCAGCTAGAGCACACCTGTCTCAATGCTCAGCCTGCCTGGCTCAGACACCACGTTTGTTCCATGAGCCGCAGCAAAAGCCTCAACATATGTGAACGCTTGGGCGTACAAGCCAGCTGAGCTTTTGCCAAAGTATCGCTCTCGTTTCGCACTGCTTTTGGACCGCCGCGAGCGAGCCCGTGGGCCAGAGCATCCATTGCAGCCATGCGCCGATCCGGTGCAGCTTTGGCCGCGCTATGCCTGTTTGGGTACTCCCTGGGCTTCACCAACATGGCGGCTCCGGCTCCTTGGTATGAGGTCATTTGATTCCCAGGTTGAGATTGTCGGGATGCGTGCCGCACCCGCTTGAAAAAAGCCTTTTGCGTGATCCAGTGACGAGGCCAAGTAGCAAGTAGCCTTGCTTCAGGTCGCTCGTCGCCCAGCTGTCGCACGGCAGGGGGAGCTGGTTAAGGACCGGTGAGTGCCAGGGCGGTTTTTTGAAGCGGAACCGACTTAAGTTCTTGATCCCCTTTTTGACTCTTTGCATCCATTGCTCCAATGCCCGGCTATTCATCGAGACAAAGGCATTCCTTGAGTCGTCCAATGATGGCGGTCGCCGAATTCCGGTGCTCGGCAATCCGGCTATGTCATTTGCGCCATGGTCACACGTCTCGGCTTGTTTGGATTATTAGTGAAATGGCGTCAGTCCCTCAGGCACCGCAGTAATTATCCGGAAACAAGCCGACCACTGACTTGGAGAACCATGCGACCTCACAGGCTCCAGACCGGAAGAGTCCTCGGTCCCTTGCATGAAAACAGCTAAAGGCTTGGGCATATCCAGGCACGAACACCTCTATCAGCACCTGAGCTACAATCAAAACCCGGGTAGATGAAGCTTAGCAAGGGGCACTCCGCTTGCCATAAATAGATGCGGATTTGTCCGCCTTCTGAATTCTTGAAGCATGGTTCTGGGATTACGACCATTTAAATACCGAATCGGTTTTGACTCCAAGCACCCACAGCCCTGTTCAGCAATGTCCAGAATCCTGAAAAAAGCGAGCTGATGTGCGTTAGCTTTCCTTTCAGGAGCCGGCACCTATGCTGGGCCGGGGCTATGCCCTGGTGTCCATGGCCACGCTGGTGGCATGGACGGCCACGGCTGTGATGGCGCTGATGCATCATCCGCCGCTCGAAATAGGATTTGGGTGAACATCAACCAATCCAACCACTAAAGTAGGTGCTAAAATGGGTGGTGAATTCACCTACCAACCAAAATGGAATCCCAAAATGGTTTTGACCCACACCCAAATATGGCTGGTCAAAAATAGGGTAACCCCAATATAGAACCTTGGTAAATGGAAACATGGACTAGAACCTGCGGTTTTTTGGTGGCTTAATTTTGACCCACAGCCAAATGGGATTTGGAGCTTCCTTCAAGCGCGTGCCGGAGGTTATGGCTTGCCCCTTGAATGAGGGTTCTTTGAGGGGAGGTTGCAGGAGAGTGTCAAAGTCAGGGACTTGTGGCACTATCTGAGAGTCGGAATGGTTTTAACAAGGCACCCATGCAACATGCAGACACCAGAAGGGATGCCAGCCGTTTTGGTGTTTCGGGGTTGCATCAAGCTGTACCGGAAAAAATGCTGCTGTAGCAGTCCTTTGGGTTTCCCTGTTGAGTTGCAATAGGGGGCACCAAACTTCTGGAGCATTCAACTGTTTAGAGATGAATCCGGCGGGAACTCATACGCAAACCAAGCCACTGACAGACTGGGCATCCCATAGTCTCTTCCATGTACAGGATGTGTTCGGATCTTTCCGTACTTTCAACAAGAATGGTGGTCATGCCAGCATTGTTTTTGCATTGCTGGTTTGAAATGGGCCATGCCATCGACATAAGGTTGCCAAGCCCTCCAGTTTTAGTGTTATGATGGGGAGGTCTCGCACGAACGTTCTCATTTTGCAAATTCAAGCTAGAGAGATGTGCGATGCCGGCCTCCACTTACCACACCTCTGCAAGATTTGGGAGACTGCAGCTTTTGGCCTTTACTTGTTTGGCCACCGGATGGAGTGAGCGCCCAAAGGATGGACTCCCTCTTGAATGGATAGCAACCCCGACAAGCTTGCACGATGCTGGTACAGAGCGTGCCCAATGCAAGCGTAGAGCTTTCGAAGATGCGCTCCTGTGGAACCCCATGAAGCATGGCACAAGCATGGCCTGGCCGGTCCCAACTCAAGTAACCAACAACTGGAAACAAACCTACGGGAAAGCGACCCGGCCGGGCACGCAGGGCACCGAGCCTCGAACCCAACAAACTCCAAGTGCATTGCCAGTTGATTTGGCTTGGGCTTATTGCCATCAACCACGTTGACAACTGAAAGGCCCGCTTGGAAAGTCTTTGTAAACAACAAGAGAAAGAAACAACAAGTCCAATAAGGATGGTACTTATGAAAGCAAGTATCCGTTTGTTGGGCGCACCAGCAGCAACAGTTAGGAATACGCAAGTACCGGATAGCACATTCACAATTTGCAGGTGAGCACACCACATTTGAAGAATGAAAGTACAAGATGGCAGCATACCTTGGACTACAAGCTTCATCATGCAACAGACTGCTGAGACTGCATAGCAATCACAACTGCAAGTCGCAAAAGACCGCAACACCTTCACATACATCTTGGTTCGTGCGCGCGATGGATCAGCGTCAACAATTTGCAGACAAAACACGCAAGCAACAGATTTGTAACATGGCCGGGCACCTTTCAAGGTTAATTACTCAAGCCACAGCTCGGTCCGAAGAGAGCTTTGCAACATGGAAGCTCCAACTTGCCAAGCACGAACAAGATCCCTACTACCAGATGCTGTCAAAATCGCAATATTGCTCAATGAGACCGAAGGAGCATGACAGCAACAGCTACAACTGCTAGCAGGAAACATCGCAACATAGGCGCAGATAGCCCTGGCGATGGAATACAGGGCAACGTCGACATCCAACTTGGGATCGCCGTTGCCGCACCATAGCAGAAGGAAGCACAGGAACAGCACAGAACAGAAAGACAAATACTGGAACGAACGGCGAAAGGAGAACAAAAAGGCAAGATGAAGACCAACATCAAGTTTACAACAGGAGATGGCAGCCAACATGAGACTACATCAAATGAAGACGCGCAAGAAGTTGATAACGAATTTCAACAACGAAAGGATCCCGACTTGAGCGCATCACACACCACACACCAACAAATGTTGCCCTCCGGGATCTTGCGCCCAAACTCATCGCAAGGAGTGCCGGCCAGGTCATCGCAGCAAACGACATGACCTCGTTATCGCTATGCCTCGCTGGACCAAATCCCATCGGCGCGCAGCCCCACATTCTTACAAAATCAAACCCAACCGACCCACAGCCTCCGCAGCGAATCTGTCCAGCTCACCCCCGGTACTGTCTCGGCGTCAAGACCTACCGGCGCAGGGCCCCGAGCGCCCTCCTCCTCAATGCCCAGCGTCGCTTGCGCGGAGACAAACCGCTTTCCCTCAAAAATAATCGACCGGCTCCAAGCCAGCTTCAGAAGCGCAGGACGCGGCGGGCTTCAGGCGCTGCAAGCTTCTGCTGACATTTGGGAGGAGGTGTGGTGACATGTTTATTTGGAATAGGACCGCCTTGCGCCGGCTCATTCTGCGGCTAGGCGCTCAAACTTCGCGGCGGGCTCCTCGCGACAATGTCAGCTGCTGGTTGACGACTCCACAGGATGCCGCCGCTCCTTCTCTTGCGGCGAGCGCAATCAAAATGCTGCGGGCTGCTCTCAAGCCAGAGCATGTTAAAGTCATGTGGTGGCACGGGGCCGCGGGCTTTTGGGCCGGCTGAAGCACAGGACGCCGCGGGCTTGTTATGAGCCACAAGGCTCTTCTTCTGGAAAGTGGGAGGAGGTCTGGTGACATTTCGACAAGCAACAAGTTAGTGATCGCCGTTTGTCCACTTCACTAACCAAGCAGCAAGTTACTGTTCCTGTTGCTGTTCCTGTTGCTGTTGCTGTTCCTGTGGCTCTTGTTCTTGTTCTTGTTCTGGGTGTCGGTGTTGTTGTTCTTGTTCTTATTCTTGTTCTGGGTGTTGGTGTTGGTGTTGTTGTTGGTGTCGTTGTTGGTGGTGTTGTTGGTGTTGATGTTGTTGGTGTTGTTGGTGGTGTTTTGTTGGTGTTGTTGGTGTTGTTGGTGGTTTTGGCGGTGTTGCTGGTGTTGCTGGTGTTACTGGTGTTGGTGTTGTTGGTCTTGTTGGTGTTGGTATTGGTGGTGTTGTGGTTGTTGGTTGTTTGTTGTTTGTTGTTTGTTGGCGCCGCTCTTTTTTGAACACCTGTTTGGTTGAGCTTGCGGTTTACAGTTGTTGCTTGGCTTTTGGCTTCCCCGGCTCAGGCTCTCCGTGTTTCCCTCAGATGTCCAACCTTTTGCATGGATTTCGTGGATAGGCAGCCTCGATGTGGCGCCTGAGGAACCACAGGTTGCGATTGCCTGTGCGCCACAACGCGCTCACCGTGGCGCAGGCGAGTCAGGGTGGATCAGCCAGAACGGCGCCCACGCTAAGTATTGCTTTGCACTCGTTTGCTGAGTACTGAGCGCAGCTCAAGCGTGAGGGGCATGTTAAATCAGTCCTTTACACATGAGAATGAAGATTGAGGGCGTTGCAGGGCTCCTTGGAAGTGTGCCGCCTGCTTGTTGACACGGTTACCCGCTGAACGCGATGCGCTTTTAAGGATGTTTATGTTCATTGCGCATAAGCGTCACTGCGGAATCCTGGACGATGGCCACTGTTGCGTTGGGGGAACAAACCTTGTCTGGCATCACGTTTGCATTCACTGCGGAACGCCAGGCATGTGACCCCTGTGACTAAGTTTAAACCGAAGACAGAAGGCAAACAAGCTAGGCCAGCCCCAAAAAGCATCAAAAGCGCTGTTTTGGTTTGCGCCTGAGATCAACATGTTTCGGCAACACTTTTCCCCCGCGCGGAAGCCCTTGAATGACAACATTCAAGATGGATTTGTTTGGAAACTGCACGTGTTGCACATCTCCTAGGTTCACTTGAGGCAGTTTGAGGCACATGACTTTTCGATCATTTGACAACAGCCAGGGGGCAACAAGCAGCGCATGTTGCTTGTTTTCGAGAGAAGGTTGCGGCCCGGGTGAGCAAGCTGCAAAACAAAGAGCTCAAGCAAAGCGTTTGTTTGCACAAGAAGTTTTGCCACTGAGGCCCTCACGTCCTTACCACTGGGAGCATCCATCCTGAAGTCTCTCACCGCTTCGGCGAGTACGGAAGGTTGGTGGGCCATGAACAGGACAAGCACTGGAATGTTGGCAGGCAGCATGGAGTGTGTGCATCTTAGCAAGACAAATGCACCACTGGAACGCGAGGCCGTCTTTTGACACTTGGCCAGGATGACCTACCGGCGCCTCAATTTGGCTGTAGCCGCTGCCTCACTGTGGCTAGCCGCTGCTGCTTTCTTCGGGCCCCACTTCACAGGCGGCTTGGAGTCACAGGGTGGGTGCAATCAAATATGGCCGATTCGCGGTTTGCAAAAGGGTTCCCGTTGTTGCAGGGCGACAAAGGAAAGGAGCGCGTCCGGCAATCCACGGAGACATCAAGGCAATAGGTGGCCAAAGGAGAAAAGGCCACGGAACGGAGGGAAAAGTGGATCCAGAATGTCAGGGGCCTTGCCCCAGGTTTCATGTTGGCCCATCTGAGGGTGGCAGGAAAGCAGATGGCAACCCCGGCCGGAGCTTAACACCGTACTAGTCACATCTCAACTAAGGATACCATTTATACAAGAGTTGGTTTGCCTGGACCATCGCCGGCACACACCTCACCGCTGCTCTGTTTTGCCTGGTGGTTTGGCTACGCTCGGTGCCCGCATCTCCGCCACCCTTGTCCGGACACTACTTGCCACGCAACTTGGCAGCCTCGAGCGCCATCGCAAAGAATGTGATGTACACTGATAGCATTTACATTCTTGTCGTGGGGAACCATTTTACATTTTTGCTTATTGTGGTTTAGTGGGAAATTCCCGCTTAACTGCTAAATTTTATTTGTTTGCTCCCCTTCCAACGTCAACCAAGCACTTTGAATGATGGCTATCTTCGATTCACAGATTCCACGTTAGTGCTTACCACCTGGCCATGGCTTAGGTTTGTTCCGTGGCCTGGTGGGGTCCCTCTGGGCCTTCATTCCACAGACCAGCGAGTCCAGCTCCATCTCCCCCAACGGGTCCGCCAGCCACTTGGACGACCCGGAGAGCACAGCCGGTTCCGATGGCCGCAACGAGTATGCCTTGGCCTCCGTGCTCTTCCTGTGCTTCGCAGCGGCTTTGCACCAAATGAGTTTGGGGGCAACAGCGCAGGCTGTTTGGGGGCAATTTTGCTTTGGATCGTTGTCATCCCCGAACTTTGCTCCTAATGTGTTTGAGAGAAGCCAACGCCTGCCAAGGTGATGCCAGTACTGGTGAGCTTTCCAATGGCCACGGTGCCCAGCATCCTCGGCCGGCGTTTGGGGCGCGCAGCGTGTGCTTGGACCTTCCTGGCCGGGGTGGCGGCCTACGTCTTGAAGGACGCCACCCAGCGCGGGCGCATCCACAGCGGCAACACCTTTCGGTACCTCCGCTGGGGCCTCATCGGGTCCTCCGGATCGCACCTGCTGCTGGTGGCTTTGAAGCTGGGCGGCGTCGACGGCGGCCACGAAGGGCTGCTGAAGTTCTACCCCGGCGCGCTGTCCTGCCCCAGAGTCGCGGCGCTGTCGTTGCTGATGCACGCTTTGGTGCTGTTTGCGGCTTTGACGCCACCCCCCAAAGTGTCCAAAGGTCCGAAGAGCTCCACAAGTTCCACGAGCTCCAGCCCAGCGCCATCCTCGGCCGCCAGCCCCCCAGTTCCATCTAAGCCAGAGCCCACGCCCAGTGCCGTGGGGGACTTCAAGTTGGAGGACAAGGCGCTCTTCCGCGACCAGCGTGGCACGGTGAAGTACGTGGGTCCCACGAACATCGGGCCCGGGGAGTGGATAGGTCTGGAGATGGATGAGGAGTCAGGCACCCACGACGGCAGTCTCTTCGGTGTGCGCTACTTCTCCTGCGCCGCGAGAAGGGGCGTGTTTGCTCGAGCCTCGCAGCTCCAGCGCGGCTGAGCGCGGAGCGTGTGCTTCAACTGATTTCAACTGTATCATTTTGCAGTTCTCCATGGAAGGTGCCTTGCTACAAGGCGACCGCTGTATCAATTGAATGCTATGATTATGATAAGTCTGTTTTGCGATGGGACAGCCAGGCAGTGGAAAGAAATCTGGTGCCAAGCTCCGCATGTACAGATGGCCCCATTGGATTCAACCGAGAGCGACTGGCATCTCAGATTGTCTCAGGCCTGGCTACAGAACGCCTGTTCAAGCCTCAGACGGTTTGCCTTGTGAGAGAGAGAGGGGTCAAGCATGTTTTTCCAGCAAGCTGTGCCATGTGTGGCTGAAGCTACACCGTTGCAAGGCGATTGCCCCTTCGGTGCAGGTCTGCCCGTGTTTGTCGTGGCACAACATGCAATTGGCTGAAGGAGGGCCTCGATATGAGACCCCCCCAATAGCTGCAAAGCTTTGCATCCCGAGCCAAGTCACCCACTTGTTCCTGTGCCGCGCATTCACAGGTGTCGAACATGACGCCATTGACGCGAGCTGCCAAGTTTGTCAACCAAGTCACTTGCCGCAGCATCACCGTGCCTCAGGCCGTACCTCGACACTGCGCCGCAGTTGAGTGCGGTCGCCGCCCAGGGCTGAGCATCTCGAGGTCGCTTCGAACAAGTTTCTGCCTGAGTGAACCTTAGGCTAGCACAGCCCGTAGGGCCGCTGGTTTGGCTGCTGCAGCCACGTGGGGAGCCCGGTCCAGTGGGGCTTGGCCATGGAGATCTGGTCTTCAGTCAGTCTGTGGGTTTGCAAGCCTCGGGTCAAATGAGGGGATGGCACTCGACGAAGCAACCACGCAGGAAAGGAGCATATCGGTTGGATCAGAATGTGTGAACTACGCTGGGGGACAATGATCAGAGCAATTGATTTGGGCCTGCGGGGTTTGAGGACTTGCTTCAAGGAGTTGGTTTAGGACTCAGCTAAGGGTTTTGATGTGGTGATTCAGTTTAGGGCTTGGTTTCGGTGTTGTTAAGTGTCAGTTCAAGGTTTTGGCAAATCTAAGCAGTGCCGCCGATGTGCAATAATGTGAAACGCAGACCTCCCAGAAGCGTGCAAAACGTAATTCGGAATGAGGAATGCGTTAGACGAAGCCTTAGGGATATGATTTAGGGAAGTGATTTATTTTTCTCTTGCACGCCTAGTAAGAAAACATGTTCTGGGTCACGTCAGTTCACAGCCCTATCCTCGAGCTTTGTACATTCCTATCCTTTTCTAGCTGATAGCCGTTTCCGGCTGCAGTACAAGGAAGACAGCCACTCCTTAGCATCTCCTCCCTTGGAATTGTTGACTTTTCCATGTCCAGCTTTGGTGGTTTTAATTTCTTGAGTTACACTTCAGCATGTAGCATTTGTCCATCGTCAGCTGGACCGTTCGTGCTCAGGCTTCGCCGGGAAGCCTCGCGGCCTGGCGCCAAGCGAGGGTTGAGGCACTGGAATGAGGGCCATGCCTTTTGAACCTTTTGCAGGCCGGCAGTGCGCATATCTTCAGCTACAGCCCCCTGGCAAGCAAAGTGGGCACATAGCGTTCGATGTTTGCCTCGTTTGCTGCCAGAATGTGGGTTTGGCCTCCAGATCAAACCTGGCCCCGATGAGACTCTGGCGATTTATCTGAGGTGCCGCCAAAGCGGAGTGTATGGGCTGAGGTGCCTTGGCTTTTTTCACTATCAGTTCTGCAGTGGACGAGCATGACCAGTGCGGACAGGCTTGTGACAACAGACGTGCGCTAGCATGTTTGAGCACCAAAAAGCTGAGACGGTTCCCTGCACAGGTGGCAAGGCTTCGCCAAGAAGATTATTATTTCGCTTGCGGCCCAGCCTGAAGCACAAAGGAAATAAGCGAGCCAAGCTCCTTTCAAGATTTCAGACACTATCAGTAGTACAACCCAAAAGTCAACATGTGGAGCCCAAGTCGGGGGCAAGTCAAAGCAAAATGCAACACATGGTGGAATGAATTCTCATGGACTTAGTTGTGAGTTGTACACTGATCATGGTAGCAGTTTAGTGGTTATTGGTCAACGGCTTTGCACATCTTGCCTGAAGGTTTGTGTGATTGGCGGCGCCGAAATGACAGGCCAACGGGCACTCATGCGTGAGTGTGTGTGTGTGTGCACTCTCATGCAGCTGTGACTTGACAAGACAAGTCTCCACCAGTGATTTCCGCGCTTGTTCAGGCGCCACCGCTGAATTCATTGAGTACTTGGCGCAGGACACGACACGTGACTGCTCACGCTGCTTCAACGACCCTAAGAGCCGTGGAGCCTCAAGCCTTACCTGTTGCAAGGAGCTTCGAACTCGGCTGCCACCAAGCGTGGCCTTTGTGGTGAATGGCACCTGTGGCGTTTCGCAGGCTGGCCAATCAGAAAGCCGCCTGGAAGTTCAAGGGCATGGAGTGAGAGCCAAGCTTGGCAAACATTTGTGCGAAGTTCGCTTGCGCAATGCCAGGCCTTTTGTGACGGCTTCAAAGATCAAAGCCGGTTAGTAAACTTGCAGAATCCTAGCCATGCGCTCAGCGCACTTTGAAGGTCTTGCCTGGTCCGGTCAGATTGTGGGTTTGGGCCTAGTGTGGAGAGGTAGGAGCCATCTTTGAATTGCTTTGATCAGCCTTTCAACGACTTGGTTTGCGGGCACTGATGGGCCATGACCAAGGTTGCCTTGAAGAGCGTGGACTGCAGGCAGTCTCTGCCTGCTTGAAAGATGTGGGCAGCAGGGGCTTATGGATCTTATGGTTTGTGGATGGCCGAGTGAGTGGAATTCAGCAGAGGGCAAGAATCAAGAAGGTATTCTGGTTCATGTCTGGACAGGGGCAAGACGCCTCAGAGCTCCTGAACCTTCTAGGCTAGGCACCTGATGAGTCGGGAGCAGATTGCGACATGACCCTTTGAAACGTCCTGTGCCTTGAGGTGACGTCTTCATTTTCATCGAGGCCTGTCCTGAGGCAGCGAATGTGGCCCAGAAGGTGGGATGAAAGAGGTTTTGACGCGCGTGCTGCGCGTCAAAAACCTCGGTGAGGCTCTTGAGCGGGGAGCCGACCTCGTGCCGGTCCGACGAGGAAACCGCCGATCTTCCCTGGCAATCGCTTGCCGGCGATCTTCCTTGCGCCTGTTTTCGCCAGGAAGCTTCCTGGACATTCCGAAGCAGGCGGGTGCTGACGCTAAGATGGTAAGTTGCAAGAACTAGGGACCTACAGGAAAGGAGTTGGGGCGAGAGAATCCAATCCAAGATGCCAAGGGGTCCGGTGGTCCGGTCGTGTCCAGCGATTGAGCTTGACCGTTGCTGGCCACCTGCATGCATGGGGAAATGGGGAAGGCCTTTCTGCGGCCTTCCTTCGTTGGCGAGAGCTGCTGGGCGCTCCTCTCCGACCCTACGGCCAGCCGTTTGTTCAGTGTGTTGCAGTTGCCTGCCATTTTTCGTCAGACCGCGAAATACTTGAAAACACCTTGCTGAAAATGCCAGCCGGTCGCTTCGCTTCTGCCCCTCCATTCGTGAAAAAAAATGAGCCACAATCAAAACCCGGGCAGAGGCAGGTTAGTAAGGGATAATCCCAACCACAAATAGCTGCGGCTGCCTTCTCAATTCTTTACATGGTTCTGGGATTACGACCATTATAATAATGTTGACCCAGGATTAATAAACCCGTCCCATTATTGGGGGGGTGTTCCCTCCAAATGTGATGAATCCCCACTAAAAGGGGACACCCCCCGATTAATCAACCAGGGGTTTATTAATCCGGGGTTAACATTACCGGATTTGGATCATGACTCATTTGTTTCGTGTTTTGCAGCAGAATCGGCGCAAAATCGCTGCCAGGCCCCCACTGCCGCCGCCTCCGCTGCCGCCTCCGCGGCCGTGGCCGGGGCGCTGGCGCAAAGGTGCCGGCCGAAAGCGCGCCAGCCTCGGGTTTGGCCCCAAAAAACCGAACGCCCCGGCCGGGCCGTGTGATATTTGTCAGCCAAAAGCGGGTTTAACCAGGCCTTTGGCATCCGCCCTGGTACGATGGCAACCGTTCTTGGCTTTTGCTTGTTCCATTTGGTGGCATCTTGCAACATGACAAGCAGCGCGATTATTATAATTATATATGTTTGATTTGTTGCTGCAACCCTGCGGACAGCTGGGCCTGTTCGGTGCCTTGAGCCAACCGCGCCAAGGCGGCTAGCTCGCCTGGAGCTTAGACTCATAGGTTGTCCTTGATCGGATTTCTCATCTCTCTCAACTCATATCAGTGTGCACATACACAACTTGGACACTGAATGTGTGACCAGCAGTTCTGTGTGTCCTGCCTTCAGCTTGGCAAACATTGGCAAACCGCGTGTGTGTGTGTGTGTGAGAGAGTATGAGAGTGTGTGTGTCAGTGTGTGTGTGTGTGGCTCCTGGCATTCCGTAACGTTTTTTGGCAGGAGCTTTGTACAGAGCCTGATGCCAATTGCTCAGCTTGCTCGGCTTGCTCGAGACTGCCAGGTAGCTCCAGCAGCTTTCACGTGCCAGCCTCAGAACCGATGGCAGGTTGAGACGGCACGGCCTTGGACCTGTAGGCGTCTCCTCGGTTTGTCGTGCGCCAGGGCTGGCACCTCAGACAAGCGGAGTTATGCAAGGAACCTGAGCTCATTCCTCGTTTGCTACCCTCCCAACAGCTAACATGGAAGTGTGCACTGGTTCCATGTTAGCTGGTGGGAGGGTACTCGTAGCAAACAACACGAGGAATGAGCGCAGGTTCCCCTGTAGAAAGATTGCTTTCCTCTTGGAAAGGGCCTTTTTGAACTAACCCATGTTAGTTGGTGGGAGGGTATCGTTGAGAACGGAACAGCTTCACAAGTCGTTAGACGCCCCTTTCTTGCGAGGTACGCAGGTAATGACCGCAAGAGCGCGCCCAGGCTGGTCACAGAATGGTCCAGTCGCCATGCAAGCGAGTTTTTTCAGGGTTGGTTCAAACAGTTGAAGGCACCAAGAAATGAAAGTTGATGCCAATTCCACTGCATAGCATAGACACCATCCCACCCCAGTGAGCATGTTGAAGGATTCTCAAAATTGCTTAGCGGGTGGTTTGATGGCCCAGATGAGCTGTGCAAGCTGTGCCGATGTGATTTCCGTGTGATTTCAAGGGCATGTTAGATTGGTGGTCTGTTTGGAGTGGAGGTGATATGGCTGTGGGTCGAAACCCTGTACCCCTGGTGAACAGCAAAATAGGTGGCAAATGGATGTTCATCCACCCCAAAATGGAGCCATACAACCCAAAGATTCCCCGAAAGTGGCATGGTTCAGCTCCGGGGGTGTGGCTCGAACTCCAAAAAAAATCGAGCCAGACCGCAGGTGTTTCTTTTGCATTTCCCATTACCAGGGATCCATTCTGGGCCCTGTTTGTGAGCCATGCACCATTTGTCGAATTCCCTGAGACTGGAATTCTGAAACCAACAAAGAGAATGGGATGCAGTAAGAAATGCGCGTGGGGTGCAAGAATATGAATTTCAGCCAATGCAGGTGCAGCATCACCACTCCCAGTTTGGCTCTCGGTACAAGCATACTCTGCTTGATTGCTCAGCCCTCTCTGTCTCGCGCTTGATCCGTCTCGAGGTGTGCAATTAGGGCATCTGCGAGACATGCATATTGCAAAGATGCATTTGAGCGCTCATATGTATTCCTGCGCGCACTCGGTTGCTTGTTTTTGTTTTTGTTGTTTCCCCGAGCCGCCTGAAGCATAGTCGCCGGTCAGCAAGCACTCGGTTGCTTGGAGTGTTTCACCGTAGTTCTGTGTGCCCATGGTTCCATCTTGCCCCCTGATTTGGCTGCTGTGATGTAACTTCGACTCCAGGTCTTTAAGTGGGACTTGGGCTGGTCCAGAAACACATGTTGTAGGTGCCGCGGGTTGGCAGGTGGTGTAGTGGTGCGGTGGCCAATGAAGACATTGTGCCAGTGGCAGCATCCATTCACTTGTCCGTACTTACATTTAGACTCTGGAGCAGGGGCAGCCATTGCGGTCATTGAAGAAATGTGGAAAGAAATTGCCGAAGTTGACGCCAGCAACACTTGAAGGAGTCCTCCAGGTGTCACAGTGGCATTCAAAGCTTTCAAGTCTTTCTCAGTAATAGCAGCAGCGCTGTGCCATGTCCCTGCGGATTTCCAAGGCATTTTCCCCGCCCAGCTCACTGCAAGCCCCGGCGGCACAGAGGCAGGATGGGCTGAATGTCAGGCCATCCAGAGCTCCAAGCTGTTCTGTTCCAATGTCGATTGTAATGTAGCCTTGGACCGGGACACAAGGCCGTTCGGCAAGCTGAATTGCCAGTCGCGTTTTGCCCCTCCCCCTAGGCTGATGCTGTGCCCCAGCGCACCAACCATCCATACATGGGCAAGGCAGGAGCCTTGGTGCGCTCAGCTGCATGTTCAAGACAATGTGATGCATCCCATCATAGATTCCGGCTGGACCCATGTTAGCAAGGCCTTCACATGTGGCCATGGGTCAAAAGCCCGTACCTCCAGTGAACACCCCAATCCGCGCTAAAATCCCGACAAAATGGGTGGTGCACCTACCAACCATAATGGTACCACTGGTTTTGACCCATGCCATGGCCAATTGGCAAGCAGCCGGCGACCACGTCGCCTTTGCGGAGCAGGTCACTTTCGCCTCCACCCCTGGAGCCCCGAACCCAGGAGACGCGCGTTTTTGTGTTTTTTTCCACGCATATTTCAGCGAGGTGCGCGTTTATGAATAGAAGAACGAGTATATCCTTCTTTGAGCTCCGACAGTGAGGAATTGATGTTGAGACTGCACCCATTCATCTCACAAAGCGGGGCCCACGATGCAGGAAACAGGTCTTAAGGTTTTTGCAGGAAGTCATGTGATTTCTGATGAATGTGGTTCTGACAGCGATGATCAGTTATGCGACCCGTGTGCAGAAGGCACTGCACGCCACCACGTCCAAAGAGCTGTGCTTGCGGCATCAATCTTCTAGACAAGATGCAGCCCACACACACGCACAGTCCTCAACGAGACGGAAGCGGAACAGGAGGAGAAGGCGGAGGAGGAAAAGAGGAGGAGGAAAAGAGGAGTCCAACCTCTTCGAGAACGATGGACTAGAGGAGCCCAGATGCTGTGGATGGTGACTGTTGCTTGTGCAAAGCAATCTGAAGAACAAAACTCGATCGAGGCGGTGAGCGCTGTTGGCTGTATGGGATTTGACGTAGCAGATACTGGTCGCAGGCATGCGTCTGTCAACTGGGGCTGCATTGCTGTAGATTGCCTCGTGTCCAGTCGCTTCACAGCTCACTTGGCTGACAATTATTTTCTTAGTATGCTAGCATCTTTTGTTGCACGGCCACGCTTGGCATATCAACAGGAATTGCATCTGTCGGGGCGGGCAGCTCAGGCCATGCCGCGCATCTGCGTCACTGGGACACACCGTGGCCCGTTTGCATTTGCTGTTGTTTTCTTGCTCGATTGTACCTTCCTGTCACTGGTCCCGATCACAGACTCTCGATTTGCTGCATCCACAAGTTGCAAATCAGGCAGAGAGGGTCCCTGCTAGTATGTCATGTTGAAGCTGAGTTGCAGGCATTGCATCTTCAACGATGCATCTTAAAGCGTCCAAGAGAATTCATTTGCAAGAGATTGGTGTCTTCGTTCACAATTTTCTTGCAGGCACACCAGCTGCCGCAGTGTCTTGGCAGCAGAGCATCCTGGTGTTGCAGACGGCTGGTGCTTGGTATTTCAAGCACCGTAGTGTCTTGCGCATTCCAAGGCGGCCACAGCGAGCTTTTCAGTTGGAAGCTTGAAACCAAACGTGGCGCATCGTGGCATCACATGGCTGTCAGCTCAGGTGGCCAGCTCCAGCGATAGAGCCTTGCGGCTGCCTCAGGTGAGAGCGGCGCGAATTGTGCACGGGCCAAGCTAAGCAACGCACTTTTGCAACAGCAGCAACGGGTCAATTTTCGGCGTAGCATCATCCGCATGGGCCGCTCATCTCAGGTGTCCTTGAGGCGTCCATGGCTCAGGCAGGACGTTCTTTAGGTAAAGTTTTCCTGCCTGCGTGGCAGTTGTGGTAGACCCAATGTCTGCAGAAGCCGCGGGCAAGCTCGCCTTTGGGACCAAGCCGGGGAGGTCACGTATGACTCTGAGTGTTGCTTATGTTCCTGCAGCAATGTGTGCATACACTATGTGGCAGACGAGGCATCCTACTTCAATGCATAAATCAACAGCAAAATATATGTTGGTGATGGTGATCGGTGAGGCTCTTTTAGATTGTCTCCAATTCGGTGGGAGGAAGGCGAAATCCCTGCTAGGATTGTCATTGGTGGTTTGGTGTCTGGTGGTTTCTTTGGTTATCCATACCTTTGTTACTTGCTTTTTGTTACCTCCACACTGACTTATTGACTCACTCTGATTTGCTTTGTTTCTTTTACTCACTTTCTCACTTACTCATTTGCATTGTTTTTCCCCAAATAGTGTTTACACTAAGGGGTTCTTACGGTAAGAGTTAAGGCCTGGTGTAGATCGAGGTGTCGGCTCAAATTGCTGGCCCTGTGCGTAAAAAGTTGTCTTCGATGCGACACGATCTCCGCAAAGGGTTCACTTTCGTCTTGCAACGCTTGCAAATGAGCGAAAGGCTGCGCCTGCCACGAAATTCACAGACCCTGTTTCCGAAAATGCTGCGCCTGCCACGCATCATTTGCATCAGCGCAAAACGTGCTGCGCCCACCACGAAAAATGCACGGCAGTCTCACAGAATGCTGCGCTGGCCATGGAATTCTGCGGCAACACACAAATCCGAAGATCGGCGCGGCGCCACAGCGAGAGCGCAGTTTTGAAGAAAGGTCCGTTTCGCGCGAAGCTGTCGCACGCGAGAGAACTTTTTGCGACAGCTGCCATGGCTTTAGAGCTCCGATTGTCCAAGCGTGGTAGCCTGATCCGACAAGAAGATATCACTGCGTGGCGGCCCTGCCATCAAAAAACGCACTTTGGTCTCAAAAAACGCGTTTGGCGCGAGGCTTCCTCAAAAAACACACCCCGCGTCGCAGCCCGCACCTCCCGACTGTTGCCCCTGCCAGCAGAAGCTGAAAAGTGCGGAGATTGTGCGTGTCGAAGCGCTCTCGCTGTGGCGCCGTGCAAGTGTGTCTTGAGCTCGGCGAACCCTCTGCGGAGATTGTGCGTGTCGAAGCGCTCTCGCTGTGGCGCCGTGCGAATGTGTCTTGAGCTCGGCGAACCCTCTGCGGAGATCGCGCGTGTCGAAGCGCTCTCGGTGGCGCCGTGCGAATGGCGACTCTCGCTGTGGCGCGGCGCGAATGTGTCTCGAGCTCGGCGAACCCTCTGCGGAGATCGTGCGTGTCAAAGCGCTCTCGCTGTGGAGCCGCGCGAATGTGTCTTGCACTCGGCGAAGCCTCTGCGGAGATCGTGCGTGTCGAAGCGCTCTCGCTGTGGCGCCGCGCGAATTTGTCTTGAGCTCGGCGAACCCTCTGCGGAGATCGTGCGCGTCGAAGCGCTCTCGCTGTGGCGCCGTGCGAATTTGGCTTGAGCTCGGCGAACCCTCTGCGGAGATCGTGCGTGTCGAAGCGCTCTCGCTGTGGCGCCGTGCGAATTTGTCTTGAGCTCGGCGAACCCTCTGCGGAGATCGTGCGTGTCGAAGCGCTCTCGCTGTGGCGCCGTGCGAATTTGGCTTGAGCTCGGCGAACCCTCTGCAGAGATCGTCCGTGTCGAAGCGCTCTCGCTGTGGCGCTGTGCGAATGAGCTCGGCGAAGCCTCTGTGGAGATTGTGCGTGTCGAAGCGCTCTCCGCTGTGGCGCCGTGCGAATGTGTCTTGAGCTCGGCAAACCCTCTGCGGAGATCGTGCGTGTCGAAGCGCTCTCGCTGTGGCACCGTGCGAGGTGCGACGCGCTCTCCCGCATCTCCGGCTGCGCAGGCAACGTTTACGTACAAAGCTGGCGCGCAAAGCCCCGCATCTGCGGCTCGAAGTTCGCAACTTCCAGGTGCAAAAAGTAGTGCGGGAAGAGCGTCTTGCAGCTCCGGCTGTAAAATCCCGCTTTTTAAGTACAAAAGTAGTACGCGAAGAGCGCCCCAGAGCTGGCTTGCAAAATCGCAATTTTAAGTACAAGAGTAATACTGGAAGTGCACTCCCGCCGCTCCAGCTTGAAATTTGAGAACCGCAACTTTTCAGCGCAGAAGTGGTGCACGAAGTGCGCTCCCGCAGCTCCAGCTCGAAATTGGCGGGTTTTTTGGTGCAAAAAACCTACGCGAAGTGCGCCCGGAGCTCCAGCTGCAAAGTTGCAACTTTGTATGAGTGTACGAAGTGCGTTCCCATGGCACGAGGCTCGCAACTCTCAAGTCCAAAGTTGTACACAAAGTGCATTCCCGCAGCTCCGGCTGCAAAATCATAAATGGCAACGTGCGCGCGAAGCGCGCTCGCGCAGCTCCAGGTAGTATGCGAAGTACACTTCCGCAGCTAAAATTGCAGCCTTCTTGCGCAGCCAAGCTGCTCACAGATATGGACAAGAGAGTTTTTCAACAGAGGACATGAAAGATTTGGCAAGAGAGGTTGCAGAACATCATGCGCAGCATGATGCGCTGCATCGCGCGCAGCGTCATGCGACGTCGCGCGCAACATCAAGCGCAACATCACGCACAGCTTCGCGCGCAACATCGCGCAACATCAAGCCACAGCATCACGCGCGCGAGAACTTGACAGGAGAGATTGTGAAGCATGATGCTAAGCTTGCTCATCAGAATCTACGCTTGAGCAGGGGCACCGACGTGTTTACGATCCTAGAGGCGTCAGTGTTCACGTAACGTTTTTCTATGCTTCTGGGCCACCTGTCGTCAAGTTGGACGCAATACTATTTGGGGTCTCTTACGGGGATAATTTTTTGTATGTGGATGTGCGTTTGTTTGTTCGGTTGGGAGGCTCGTTTGGTATGGTGTGTGGGTGTAGTATGTTTTTGAATATGTTGGTTAAAATGTTGTAATTCTCGAATAAGGTTGGAGTGCGTGATCGGGAGGTGTTTTGTGTTCTGTGTGGTAGGTGTAGCACTTTGGAGGTGGTAGGGATTTTTGTGCGATATGTATTTGGATTTATTTGTTGCTTTACGTCTTTGGCGGAATATGCTTATTATTTTGGTGTGTTTGTATAATATAGGTGGCATTGAATAGTTGTTTTGAACGATGGGATATAATTAAATAGATTAATAAGTTTAAATTATAATTATTTATAATTTTATTTGAATAGTTATTTTTGTTCGATATGATTTGTTATATATTTTTTGGTTGATTGAATTGGAAAGAAAATAATTGGTTTTATGGAAAAGGGTTATGGTCCGGTTATTTTTGTAGATTATTATTTTGTATGGATGATTTGTAATTGGTTGAATATATGGGTAATGATTTATTTGTTTTTATTTGGATAATATATTTGTAATTGATAGTATTTGATTTTTTAATTTTAGATTTGATTTTGTTTTTGAAGAATTTTATATATAATTTATGAATTGTTATATTTATTTTATTGGGAATAATAATTATTTTTTAAAAAAATGATATTAATATAACTAAATATTTAATTTATAAATTTTATAATTTTATTTTATGGGTTTTTAAAAAACATATATTATTGGAATAAGTTTATGAAATATAAAGGATTTGAACGAATTGATTTTTTTCGCAATTTTGATAATGATATGGGAATACCTCTGTTAAAGCAGGTTTATTATAATAAGTGTTTTATAATTAAAACAAATGTATCGGCAATATTTGAGGTAAAAAAATTAAAATACTTCTAATCCCGAGAAAATTAATTAATGCTAATCTAAAACCTAAACAAATTATCCTTTATTATAAATTTTAAAAAAAAAAATCCTCCAATGCCGCCTCCAACCCTAACCCCAACCTCCCCCCCCCTCATCTCGATCCCTATCTTAACCCGAATTAAGCTAAAAAAAAAAAACAAATTAATAAATTAAATAAACCAATAAAACAAAAACAAAACCTAAATAAAAGGGGAAAAAAAATATCATTCAACATATAAAAAAATATATTTATAAATCATAAAAATATACTAAAAAGAAATAACAAACAATCCAATATATCCAAAAACAAAAAAAACAAACAAATTATTATTTTTTTAACTTTTATATTAAAATAAATATATATTTTTATTTATTCTTTTAAAAAATTATATTAAAATATATTTATATAAATATAATTAAATTATATAAATATAATTAAATTATATAAATATAATTAAATTATATAAATATAATTAAATTATATAAATATAATTAAATTATATAAATATAATTAAATTATATAAATATTATTAAATTATATAAATATTATTAAATTAATAATATTAGAATTTCCCCGGAACTCGTTCTAAATATACCATTTTAAAATTTTATAAAACAATTAAAGGTAACAATATATTCGAATCCAAAAACCCAATCGAAACCCAATAATATAATCGAAAAAAAAAAAAAAAACAAATAATATAATTGGGATGCGAATAAGATCCAATAATACAATAGAAATTCCATAACACAAATAAATTCCAATTAATCCCAACCTCTTATAATTCAATATCGATTTTCCTAAAATACGACTTTATAATTATATCTAAAAAAAATAATAATATTAATTTAATAATTAAACTCAATATACAATCAAAATCCAATAAACCCAATCCACAAATAATTCTTATAAAAATTCTATAAAATTCAATATAAAATTTTCTTAAAATCTTTCCTCAAAATTAGTCATAATTTCTATAAAATCCAAAAAACAAAATCATAAAGTGTTTTAAACCCTTATCTCATAATTTGTATAATCTCATAAATTTATTAAAATTCAAAATCCATTAATTAATATTTAAATAATACCAAATATTTATTCTTCTACAAAATCATAATATATCCCATAATAATTTAATTTACTTTACCAAAAAACCAATATATTTCCTAAACAAATAAATAAAAAAACAATAAAAATATACTATAAATCATTAATTTCGGTCTTATTTAATATTCGCCCATAAGCAAAACAATCTTCTAAATCCTCAATTTATTATTCCAATAATTAATTTTTCAAATAATAAATATATAATATATTACTTACAAACTATTTATAGAATTTATAAAGTATTATAAAACCTTATAACTTTTATATAATCCTTGCAAAACTATTATAAAACCCATACCTTCATAAAACCCTAGAACCTTTC